TGCGCTTTTTAGGAACCTCTCTGAATAAGCATTAATTGTTTCAGTCGCCTGATTCAGGGGAATGTTTATTTCACGGGGTGCTTTAAATCTGTTGCATCATTTTTTTTCCTTGCTCAGTGCGCGCATGTGGCCAGATCGCGAATACCCAGAGTGAGAATGCATCCCCCACACTGTGTCCTGCCAAATGCTGGTATGCGAAGGCCACCATACGTAGGAAGCGTTTTTTTCTTTTATGTTCTACCCTCCCATATACACGCTTTTTTTTTATGAGCCCTCTTGAGGGATGCGGGGTTGCTTTTATAGTTTTCTTATTGCTAATTTAGCTAGCCTCAGTGACAATTCCTGCAAACTTCCTATTCCGGCCTTGCAAATGTTGGGAACCAACCCTCTTGCTGCGTTTTAAAAATACAGTCTCACTTCATGTGCATAGGTTGCAAAAGTTGTACAGGAAAATATGAGAAAGTTAAAGTGCCTAACTAAACTATCTGTGTCCCCATTGTGTATCGTCGATTTTCCTTTTCTGCTTCCTTATTCCCGACAGCCGGAGCCCCCAAGAGTGCTAAAAGAAGTATCTCTTTGGAAATTATTTCGTTTCTCGACCATCCCCGTACTTTTCTGATGCTCACCTTACGGCAGAGCCTACTGGGCCTTGCCGATGTCAGAAAAAAGCCACCCGCTCGTGAGGTTTCTTACCCAGTTTGAGAACGAGTGGTTTTTTTCTCTTCTGGATAACTAGAGATATTATATTGGGAGAAACTGAATGGTTAAATTACTCCTTCCGTTAGTTTGCCTTTCGTTTTGGTTAGAATGACACAATTTCACCAAAGCAGATTTTCATGTTCTGTTGGGTAAGTAACTTCTTTGTGCTATCTTGTAGCTAAATTCTAGCTTCACAGTGAGTGTCATGGGTCAAAGGACAGGTAGGGGCTCTCCTTAAAGAGGGTAATGAATCTGAATGAAGGCGCTGTTCTGCTTTAATATTGCAATCCCCGCTCCTCTTGATGTTCAACTCTTTCCTCTGTATGATACTCACTATCTTTTTTCCTCAATTTTTTCCCCTTACTCACTGTTTTAGGACGATAACAAGCGACACAGTAAGTTGCTAATCTTTGCAAATAATATAAGGACAAACCGGGTCCTGGCAAAAGGGTGGCTGCGCAGCAAGAGATGTCTTTGTACAGGGGAGCAGACCGATGTGTTGGCTTTCTCCATGTGGGATCGCGACTTCCTATAGCGACGCTCTGCATTGTTGTGATGCTGCTCCTTCTTCCGCAAGGATCTTTTGGGCAAGGAAACTGCCCCGAAATTAATGTAAAAGTGTTGATACTTGATGTGACAAATCTTCCAACGCCTTCGTATTTTAATCTATCACTTCAGTACGGATTTGAGGCGGCATTATGGTCGCGCAATTATATTGTTGCAGACTCTGTGCGCGTGACGCTAATCAAGAAGGCGAGTACGATGGAGTCGGCTGGTACTGCTGTTGAAGATGCCTTGAAGGCTGATTCTGATATTCTTCTTCTTTTTGGTAGCATTGGTGATACGGTGTTGAGCAACTATTTGTCTGTAACTATGCAGCTAAACCTTATTTCGTTTGCCCCGTTCGTAGGGTCGTCTGCGGCAGATGGGTGGAACCCGTATCTATACTTTGTGCGCGCTGGTGCTAAGGCCGAGCTGCTGGCACTTCTCAGCTACGCCGTGGCTGAGCTGCGGGTGCTTCGGCTGGGATTCATGTACCTGCAGGGTGTTAATTTTGGTGAAGAGGAGTATGAGCAGGCACAACGTGTGATGTCGGCGATGGGCTACGAGTTCTGCGGCGTCTTCACCGTGAAGAGCTCCTCGACTGGTGGCGCTGACAACAAGGAGTTCGAGGATGCGTGGGAGCGGTTTGCTGCGACTCGGCCGCAGGCAGTGATTGTGTTTGGCTCGCCTTATCAGGACACCTTGAAATTCCTTATGAAGATGCTGACGGACGTGCGCACCGCTGGCGCGTACTTGCTTGCTCCTTCTGCGGTGCAGGACGCCGTTTTGGGAGTGTGGAGTGCTGCCGTGGCTGGTGGTGTCAAGTTCGTGCCCGGGCAGGTGATCACGACTGGGGACGAACCCGCTGGCGAAGGACACACAATACGCGGCAATCCAGCGCTTCCAGGTGGAGATGAAAGATTACCTGGCGAAAGTTGTGCCGGCTAGCAGTTCTGTGGGCCAGAACTTCCCCGATGACGACAATGAGGGCGAGCTGATGGTTGCTGGGTGGATTGCCGGCGAGGTGCTCGCGCAGGCGCTGGGTAATCGCGAATGGGTGAAGGACCGTAACTCGTTCATGGCGTCCATCTACAACCAACGCCGTTATTTGGTCGACAACCTTGTGATTGGTGACTACGGTGGCAAGTGCGAAGGCGTAGCTGCAGCACAGGGTGCTATGTGCCAATGCAACCAGGGCGGCCGCACTGTGTACATGAAGCGGTTCGTGGAGGACTACCGTGCCGAAACACTGAGCGAGGTGACGCTATCGTTCCCCAGGTGGGAATGCACTGTCTCGGAAGACCTCATTGCCGCCCCTTTGAATGGAATTTTCGTCGCTATGACGAACAGTGTCTATGCGGTTCTGGCACTTGCTTCTTATTCGCTAGGTGTGAAGGCTGCCACGCGTGAAAACAGTATTGTTGATAACATTGCCTACACACTCCACTTACTAAATTCCACCGTCGACGATGCTGCTGAAGCACTGCTGTCAGAAATGAAGGTGAAAATGGTTGATGTCGTCGGTGCTATAGTGACAGAGGCGATGCTGGGCGTGGAGGGTGTGGCCTTCATTGACCCGCTGCAGCTCGAGCCGCGGCTGAACAGGTTCCGCCGACACGTGATTTACCTGTCGCCGACGCTGGAGCAGCAGTTCTTCGTGCTTGCGGAGTACCTCCGGGACACGGGTGTCCGCGAGGCGCGCGCGGTGCTCCGCGGCGAGGAGGCGGCGGCGGTGGCGGAGGTGCTGCGGCGGTCGCTGGTGACGTTTGGGGGATCGCTGCGGTCCGCGACGCTGCTGGCCGGCGGCGACGCGCTGGCGGGGCACCTGCCGGAGGCGGGCGACGTGTTCGTGGCGGGCCTTGCGGCCGGCGACGTCGCTGCGGTGGCGCGGCACGTGGCGTTGCACGACGGCGTGCGCGTGTTCGTCGCGTTCTCCGAGTTTGCGCTGCTGCACGCCGACTTCGTTGCCGCGTTCGGTGGCGGTGCGTGCGCCGACCGCGTTGTGTTTGCGACTAGCCTGCCGCACTGGGACGACGCGAACTCGACGTCGACGACCGCCCAGGAGTTTGTCGCCGCCGTGCCGGACGCCACGCAACGGACGCCGCTGGCGCTGACGGGCTTCGCC